TACATATACTACACTAAAATATCTCTAATATTTACATATATTTTTTTTTTAGTTTTTGGTTAACTGGGTTTGTTTTCATTATTAGTGCCTTGGGTCACCTAGTGTTATAAATTCACCCTTGCCAGGTGTAAAAATATCACTATTTACACATTTGGAGTTTGTCCACTTGCTAAACAATGAAATCTGAATAATTTGTTACAACTCTCTGTTTAGTGAATAAAGCACTTTGTGTTCTGCGTTTACCTGTCCCAATAGCAGGGATAGCCACTGTCCCCAGGTTGTTTTTGTCGCATTCTTGAAGTACGCTCATTACGGCATTAGTAATTTTTTGTGGTCGGGTTACTCCAATCACATGAATGACGTTTTTGCATTTAAGGTTACCTGCACCAGTTACAACAACATCACCGTGGGGCTGTTTGCCTAAAATATAATATAAAAGGTAAACAGTTTTCTTTTCTTTTTACAATTTTAGTTTTTCAATTAAATTTTTTTTAAAATATAACATTCTATCACATTAGGACTATATATGATTACTTTTTTTTGTAACTATAAAATGTGTAAATGTAGCTATCATTAGTGCTGGGGAGATCATGGGCTACACTTCTAACCAACACCATCTGAATTATACTGTCTATCCCTGCTGAATTTTGATTGATGGCTTCAAGGGAACCCAAGAGCCAAATTGTACGGAGGATGGCACGAGCACTGAAAGCTAAATACATATCGGATTCTTGGAGTGGATACTTGGAGTCTGGAGCGGGTGTATTTGCGACCCAGGTGCTAGTTGAAGCACAAAATTGCAAATCACCATAAAAATGTCTGATATGGAGAGTGCGTGCTAGCACTTACAGATCGTTATACAAGGAAAAGGAAGGCAGAATAAAAAAAAAAGTTGCATAACTAGACGTGTCGTTGAGTCCAATAGTCAGAGCAGACAATAAAAGGTTATAAAGACTTTTACAATAGTTTTCTTATCTCTTTTGGAATGACAGTCTTTCAGGACAAACTCGTCATTGAGAAATTCCATAATTCCAATAAAGAAGGTATTACAAAATACTAATGACATCACTAGACTAATAATCTCCAATTATATATATATTTGTTTTAAGAGGTCTACATACATTATAATTGTACCTTTAATTTTGCATTCATCCTGTAAAGAAGGTCCACCTGCTGCAAGAATTGCTTTACTTATACCTGTTCATAAACAAAATGGGAGCAATAAAGATTGTTCAGAAAAAAATAGGAAGCTATAATAAAATACACAAAATTACGTCATGCCTTCATCAACGATGTATGATTTGCAACCACATTCTATAGATATATACCAGGGGTGGGGTGTACTTATGGATGTCACATCCAAACTCCCCTTAACCCCTTTTATGCCTCCCCCCCTTTGTGTCTTAAATGGTTTCTCCAACCACCGTAACTACTTCAGTGATTGGAAGTGGTCATGGTGTTAGGAGTCAAAATGCTGCACATTTTGAGATTTTTATAATTGTGTGCCAGGGGCTAGTTCCACCCTAGCACATGTGACATTGACAACCCAGAACCCTGTTCCAGGTTTTCTGTTTATTTATTTATTTTTAAACCCCCCTCTTCTTTACTCCCTCCCCTGTCCTTGACGGGCCGGGGCGCATGGATGAGAACGTTTGATTAGACTGTGTGTGGCCTAGTGACATCTGAAGGGGCACAGACTATTAGTGCTGGGAGCTTCGCCTTGCACTGGATTTCAGGTAAGTTAAACATTTTTTTGCAGGTTATAATGAAACTGAGAGGAGGGAATTTCTCCACAGCACCCAACAGGGCATATTACACCAAAAAGGTCCCCTCCTCAAAAAGGTTATAGCAGCCCCATAACCTTTATTTTTACCGTAATTAACATTTATAGTTTGTTTTAAGTTGCAAAATGATTTATAAGATCAAATCAAAGCTTACCCAAATGATGGCTGAGAGATGAATTAGTTAGGTTTACCACCGCATCCACATTTTCCTGGGTGATGTCACCATTTTTTAATCTCACAAGGACTTCTTCAATCACGAGCTCACATCGCTCACTCATTCTGCTAAGAATAACAGATTTAGAGGGCAGGTATTAATAAATTGCAAAAAATAAGTAAATATTACTGTTTTTTTAATTTTAATATAAATTCACAAAAATATTTAGGAATAGAACTATTTTAGCAAATTTGCTCATTTGATTTCAGTATAGTGTTTGCACCCTTGCCCCATGTATGGGGGTGAGAGAGGAGCTGTATTGTGTTAGGGGCTTGATACCTGTTTATGAAAGGATTTCTGTTTTTTACATAGTCTTGGTAAAAAAAAACAGCACTTCCTGGATAGGTCCATTTGTGGGGAGTGGGTAGTATTTGGAATAGCAGGCTACGGGTTCATCAAATCTCCAACCTCTATAAGGATAGTATGGTCAGAGAATATATAACAAATACAGCCCTATGAGAATAGAAAGGCCAAATGGTACTCAATTCATCTTAAATAATAAGAGTTAGTAGTAATAGCAGGGGCCATTCTTCTGGTCCTTTACTGGTTATGGCTTCTTGACCCCTCTACCTCCAAAAGGATTAAAAAATAGAAAGACCATTCAAGGCTATTCTGGTAATAGTGATTTCAGATTTGTTAAAATATATGTAAAAGAAAGACAATCTCTCCACTGTCACATGACGGTGACCACAGCATGATTTCTATTTTGCACGCTTTTACTTCCTGTTCTGTGCCACAGAGGAAGGAAGTGTATATTGCCTGTGAAACAAAAAAATAATCTAGTAAACTATTAATGGTGTCATGATTTGTATGGTTTTCTATCAAGTTGTTTTGCTACGGACAAAAGATAGTATGAAGTATTCTGGGTAATGTTGAGACTACACATAAACTCCACGTCAAACTCTAGTATGTCTATACAACTTTATACAATAAACCTGTATGCGTATACAACTTTATTTTGGCATATTCAACTAAATTGTTTTTAGATGTTGCTTCATGTTCTCCATATAAACAAAGATTTATACTTATACCTTATGGAATATGTGTGTTTCTGCAGATGAAAACTATGTCACCTTCGATTGCTGTGTTTAAATATTACCTGAAACTTCAGTGCGCTCTCTTGGCCTCACCCAAAAGCTGGTTATCTTGTATGTTCTTGTTTTCTTCCTTGCTGATGTTTCTAGAACTGTCTCCACCTTCAAGGCCTACTTCCCTTGCACGTTACAGTAATGAGTCTATTTTGCAAACATAACAGAAAATGAAAGTGATAATATAGATTTAGGGCGTATCTGCACTTGTTTATGAAAGGATTTCAGTTTTTTACATAGTCTTGGTAAAACACGGCCCTTCCTTGATGCATGTATGTAGTTGGGATCTTTTCACTAAATAGAGTTGTGGCAAATAGATTGTTCCTTGAAATAAACCTAGACTAAAATTGCTAAATTCAAAAATTGCTCCAGCACGGCCATTTTGGGCGAATTTCCAACTTTGCAAAATGGGTTTCTAATAAAATGATGGCCTGTGCACTGCAACTCGTTGTTTATTGTATACATTAACTTTTGTGTAAGAGACCCCATAGCAAGTGGAATGTAGGTGTATCTTTCATTTAAATTACCCCTAATTAATGTACACCCACCAGGAGAGACTGGTCCAATAAGATAGAAAAGTACCGAGAACTGGAGAACTTGAGATGGTCTTAGGAAGGTCCCATAAATATACCTCTCTGTCACAACCCTTGACTTTGTTTAGGGAAAACCAGGTTAAGACAACACAGGGGGAGATAGCTGGAAGGGTATGGGAGCCTGCCCATACACACCGACCCTCTTAAAATCTTTTAGTGTTCATTCCGGGGACACAGAAGCAGTAAATGCACACAGGCGCATCTTAGACCTTAGGCTGTATGCATAGTGAGACACCATTGATGGGACAGTAGCCCATGTGTGATTGCTTATGTGACCACTATTATAAACACTATAGTCACTTTGATGTATGCTTTTTGTCATTTTAAAGTTTATACTCTTTTATTGAGATTAATCTTTTTATTTTTTATGCAACTTGAATACAAATTACCACATGTGAATTACAGCTTTTCCATACATTCCGTTTTGAGATAATTTTGAACTCAATCCTGTACAATGTACCATCTATATGTCAATTCATTACCTTGGAGTGTCAATCATCTTTGTACTGTACTGATTTATGTCATACATTGTTTAACCTTATGTTGGACAAATTATCAGTTGTACTTATGATATGAGTTATTGTGCTATACTCTTTTGCCTAATACTTGTACAATAAAGTAATAGAGGTCCAGGCACTCCTTGGTTCAAGACAGGTACTTTATTAGGAACCACAACAGCAACGTTTCGACCCCAAAAGGTCTTTGTCAAGCTTGACCTTTTGGGGTCGAAACGTTGCTGTTGTGGTTCCTAATAAAGTACCTGTCTTGAACCAAGGAGTGCCTGAACCTCTATTAGTTTATTAATTTTTTGAAATCTGGTGTTTGATTCCGGTTCAGCAAGCACCCTGGCTCAGATTTATGGGAGTCAGTGAAGTTCCACACACACTACTAAAGGTAATACTTGTACAATATCCTTATCCTTATCTTGTTTTGTGATGGATAAAAATCCTTAATAAAAATAAAATAAGTAAAAAAAAAATGCCCCTCATTATACACTTCTTCTGCTTAAAGTTAAACTATTAAAGTGTCATCACTTGATATCTAAACTGTTTCTGAAAATGAGTTGAAATTGGTTGTCCATTACAATACATAATCAAATCACGTGAATTGAAATAAAAATGATAAAATGGGAAAAGCCTTCCATCCTGTATTATAAGGCAAATCCATTCTCAAAACAGCAAACACTTAGCAAGTAGTTATGGTAAAGATTGGCAGAAACCTGTACTGCCGCTTTAGAAACTAAAGGAATTACATAAACTCTTTGTCTTTGGTATATCAAACAACAAATAGATATAAACGAGATAAAAATGAGATATACATTATATCACATTGAAGGCACCTTTTATCATTAATTTGTGATTGTTGCTAGATTTGCATGCACATGTATTTTTGTATATTGCATAATATGTTTGTTTTTTCACTTTGCACTTTTTTTTTTTTTAACTCCGTTTTAAAAGCCTTTCTCAGGTTTATACATTGTAATTCTTACACACAAGCTATCTCTATTGGCGTGTGTTGCTTGGCTTGATGATTCCGATTATATTATATAGTATTTATGTTTGCATTAGATTGTGTTTTAGAAATGATTTAATAAAGATTTATATATTTTTCTGTGTTTTAGAATTTATAATATGTATATTTATATTTTACAGTACTCTATTGAGGCGTTGTTTGCTAACTCCTCCTACCTTGCTATCTTTCTAATGCGCAATGTAACACTTAAACGTATCTGTGTAAATTGTAGCAAAGTGTTAATTGTCCATTTGAGTCACTGATAGCTTTGATGCAGGTGTAGGGTTTCTTACTTTGTAAAGTTCTGTCCTGTGTTAACCATTGATGTATGTGTATAAACATACAGAAACAAGGAAATTAACAATATATTGTGCGTAACTTTTCATGAACAAGACTCAGAACACAGCAGATCCATTTCTTAATGCTGCACAAATATAGATGATTAATTATCCTAGTTTTTTTCTTTTGTGTTCTAACAATGGTAGCAAGATTTCTGTTAAAATACTAAATATATAACATTTTTGCGCAGTAAATAAAGTGAGCATTGGTCTTACCTGCGTGATTGCCAAACTCTTTAACCGATAAGTAAGTTCTTGTTGTTGTTTTTCTTCTGCCGAGTCAAATGTGCTCTGTTTAAGTTAAGTATTTAAGAGGAAGTGCAGTTACTTTCACTTTACTGTCAGAAAAATCCCTTTTCAGACTTGTCACATGTGACTTGCGTTTACCTTTTTCAGAGCCAATGACAGTCTATGCCAGCTTAACATTCAGCATATTGGTACTCATGAAGCTTTCTACTGTAGTAACCATCTGGATTATGGGGATGTGTATGTGTGGGTAGTGTTGTTCATACATCCCAGCAATCGAACGCCAATGCTACACAAGCACATTCAAACACAAGCACTAAACACAAGTACACCACTGCTTTCAAATTGCAACACTACTGGGGGTGTGGGGTAGGAGCCTAGCAGCTTAACTGAATGGCCACATTTTGTCAGAGCTACTTTTGCCCCGATTGTGCAGCTAAAATCCCACATTTAAGGATCTCAGACAAATCCCCAGGCTGGAACCAGCAAAATGGGTCGAATGAAAAGAAGCCCGACCCTGACAAGAACTCTGGCAACAGGCCCGCAGTTCCATGGACCCTAATATGGCCTCCTTCGCGGATTATGGCTCCAACATAAGACTTCTTCTCAACAGGAGTAGCGGTGCAACATCCTGCTGCCTTACCACTCCCTCACAGCCGGATTTGTCCCCAGCAGTCATGATTAAGCTGCTGGCAGGTCTACAACATACAATACAGGCTGGCATGGCTCAAATCCGCAAAGACCTGACAGGCCGCATAGGTACAATACGGAGCAAACTCCCATCAAAACGTGCAGCAAACAAGCACGAGTTGCAGCATCTTAAAACTAATCAGTGATTTACAGCAATTGAGGACCAAGGGCCAAGCCTGAACATCAAGATAAGGGGGATCTTCGAGGAGGTACTGGAGGTCGAGTTACCACACTTCACAAGGCGACTCCTGCTGGCACTACTGCCCCCTAACATTGCAAGTCTCTCGAGACTTGTTAAGACTCCTGCCTAGTCGTCAAGAGATCTCCTGATACACTTTCAGAATAGCAGAGATAAAACGGCAGTCATGAACGCAACACGAAATCACTCACCTTATCTGTTTGAGAGCATGTTGCTCACGTTCTATGCAGACCTGTCTGGAAACACATTGGGTTGGCGGTGTTCACTCCAGCCCTTTACATCTCTCCTCTGCTCACATAATGTCAGTTGTCAGTGGAAGGGGTCTTGCACGCTGATGGTCCACCGTGGCGGCTTATCGTACCCCATCCAAGATCTGCAAGAAGCGAAGGATCTCATGCCAACCTTAGGGCTTCAGCAGGACTCTCTAGCCCAGACAGGGCTGAGCACCACCACTGCACCACCTCACACATGGAATCCTGCCACAGTGACCCCTTTTGTCCTTCACTGGCCCGTGTTGGATGCCTATGCAGTGGTCACTACCTGATCCATAACTGACAGCCTACGGGGCCAGGCTTACCTTTTTCCAGGATCTGTGCCATAGCTCCCCATTCTCCTTCTGAACAAGGGGCTCCAGCTATAGGGTGCCCTAGATTCTATTAATATAACAGACTAGACACAATCCCATCCCCCACTTAGATAAGCTGTAATCTTTGTATATCTTTTAAGTGTCTTATCTAGACCGTGGTTATCCAACTACAACTCTTCCATTTCCCCTGTTTTCCCTACTCTCCCTGCCTATTGATTAATTGCCATATTTGACCCAATCCTCCGAACCCCTAGTATCTTTACTTCCCTAAAAATCTCAGTTCATAGTCGATTATTCAAAATGTAAAACAGAAAAATAAAGTGTGCTGTACCTTTAAAACCGTGTCAGCAACCTTATGAGCATTTAGATTCAGATCATGGTGCTTAATGTAAAAATATTGTGCACTTTGGATTTGCTTACATTTGCACAGGTTGTTGCTATTTTTGCACAATAAGCACTATTTTGACTATAATCACCTTGATCTGAATCTAAAAGCACTAACGTTTGCTGATACGATTTTAAAGGCACAGCGCACTTTATTTTTCTGTTTGATATTGTTGTGTTTTTCGAGCTAATACACGTGTAAAGTGCTGCTAAGTAGAATATTTATCAATGTACCCTATATTTTAGAGAATTTATATAGCGCCCTATATACTTGTTTATCTTTTTTTTTCTTTTCTGTATTATTCAATATATGACTGCCTGCTTGTTTGCTTTGTATAACCTAATGTTTTTGCTGTCTTACACATGCTTATATCATATAATGTTTCATGTCACTTCTATGGACTGAGACAAAAAAAAAAGAATAAAAAAAAAGACAACAGTACACACAAATACATACATACACTCAAACATGCTTACATTTGTCACCAGCTATTTTTTTCAATTGCATTAACAAGTATTTCATAAAAAAAATTTAAGGTTCTTTATTTACATCACAAATCACTGTTTATGATAGAAACATTTAAATACATAAAGGGAATCAACACCGTAAAGGAGGAGACTATAGTTAAAAGAAGAAAAACTACCACAACAAGAGGACGTGGTCTTAAATTAGAGGGGCAAAGGTTTAAAAATAATATCAGGAAGTATTACTTTACTGAGAGGGTAGTGGATGCATGGAATAGCCTTCCAGCTAAAGTGGTAGAGGTTAACACAGTAAAGGAGTTTAAGCATGCATGGGATAGGCATAAGGCTATCCTAACTATAAGATAAGACTAGGGACTAATGAAAGTATTTAGAAAAGTGGGCAGACTAGATGGGCCGAATGGTTCTTATCTGCCGTCACATTCTATGTTTCTATTGAATAGACCCCTTTGCATGCTATATTGTAATGTATATAATGTTACACTATGATCTGTAGATGTTTTAGTTTACCCACATGTTGGTAGTCTGATTTATATCCCACCTTTAAAACGAGACATGCTGGTTCTGTTAATATTTACAAGTCACACGGAACAAACAGAAAGTGAAAGTATTAAGCTTTAAGTTTCATTTACTCCAGTGCAGTCAGGAAGGAGGAGCTGTTTCAGGAAATAAGGTTTTATATTTCCCCACATTCTAGTTCTTGATTCTTTTTATCCACAAATAGCATTTTTAGTGAAATAGATTTGTAGCTATATTAATACATGTGTGTCTGTTTCAGGCAGACCCAACTTAAAACAATATGGACATAGAATGGAATTTAGATCTAAAGCAGACTGAGGTAAGATCTTTGTATCACACTTTATCTTATCCTTGGATTTGTCTCCCATTGCATTATTTTCTCTTGTTTGTTATTTTTGTTCTGTCTTGGGATCTGTCTTGTAACTGCCTGTTTTACAATGTTACACAATATGTTAGCCTCATGTCTGTCTTACTTGTCTCTCCTCCCATCTCAGATAGATAGATTGGTAGGTAACGTGATTGAATCTAATCAGGCCACACAGATTCAAAATATTATTTTATTTTTTTTAAATGCAGAGCTCTTGTAAAGCAGTTGTAAAGATTTTTTGCCATTTTTTATTTTTAATATTTGGAGAAAAATGTAATGCTTTAACCAGAATCCTGCCATGTGCTGGCTGCTTGTCCTATATATATGGTACCCTGTTTTTATTCTCTAAAAAATGTCAAACCTTTGGACTGATCACTGGTAAAATAATCTAACACTATCTAGATTACATTGTTTAATCTTTGGATAAAAACAACCAAATAGGCTGTGTATAAGTAAACAATGATGTACGCTGGTAATACAAAGTACATTTAGTCCATGGCCAGCTTTTGGGGTATGCGAGGTGTGCACAGCATAGGGTGCCATTGCAACAGTTGCACCAGGCAGCTGACACAGATTGCAATAAAAGGCAGGAGAACTCGTGGTGAATTGGTGCAGCTGCACTGGGGACCACAAGATGAGGGGCCCATCGAGTGGTCATGACACTTAAGGTCACCCAATGGTTATATCTGGTCAGGGACACAGTCGGCCGTCGCAGTCCTTTAACATCGGGTTCGAACTTCTGTCAACTTGGCAGTGCTGGGAGGAAATATAGCAGATCACAGAGACTAACATGGGGATGGATGAAAGGAGGCAGACAAAGGAGGAGGAGACCTGCCCGTGCATAGGCCATGGCTCCAGGCAGCACTTTAACAGGGGCGGCATTCTACATTGCGTGCTGCATGGAGCATTGCCATAGCAACACGTAGTCACGCTCTCAGGGCTCTCGAAAGGAGAAGAGCCTGCTGCTGAAAGATTAGACTCTAATAGCTACAAATTAGAAAAGTATGCTTGCCACCAGACCACTAGGGAATCTAGTGTCCCCCATTCCTGACCAAAGCTAAGAGTCAGGGAGGATGGAGTAAACGAAACTAAATTATACATTTTAAAAATCTGCTCACCCCTTTACAGCCCCTATCCTACCCCACAAACACGTACAACATAAACACAGACACTGCACCCACCACGCACACTACACCAACTACACAGGCACTGCACCCATTACATGCACTTCACAGACACTGCACCCATTACATAGACTACATACAGTACACAGACTCTACACCCATTACACAGACTACACACTGTACACAGACACTGCATCCACTACATACAGTACACAGACACTACACCCACCACACACTATATGCTCAACACAGACACTGCACATACTGCATCCACTACATAAAACCCTATATTCACTCAGGACTGGAGCCACTATAAGGAAGCACAGGTGGCCACCTTACAGCACACCGGTCGAAGGGTGCAATATCTTGGCTCCTGGTGACCGGCAGGAGGAGCGGAGAGTCTCAGTGTGTGTATGTGCCTATCTTTGTGTGCATTTATGTGTGCCAGTGTTTATGTGCATCTGAGTAAGTATGTGTAAATATGTGAGTGTATATGCTCATACATCCCAGCATTCAAATGCCAACACTAAACACAAGTAAACCATTTCATTCAAATGGCAAGACTACATACAAACACATTCCTGCATTCAAACGACAACAGTACAAACAATTACATTCAAATGGCAACACTACACACAAATACACTTCCATATTTCACAAACCGATACTCCATAAAAACATGCCTGCATTCAAACACAAACACTGCTCACAAATACAACTCTGCAAAGATGGGCAAATCATAGATCCTTTTAGCTAGCAAAGCACCATGGGAGTGGCACAACAGTTGAGGATCTACCTTTTGCCTTCTCCAGTGCCCTCTCTACATTAGTTTTGCGACTACTACACAGAGATGTCACACATTGGTCATATGTCCAGATGTGGAGAGGAGAATGGACAGCTGTGGGAAGAAATGTTTTTTAAAAGGCCTCCAGTGGGCAGGGCCGTCTATAATATGAATAGGACCCCCGGCAAAGCCTTTTCTTGGGCCCCCTGGGCCCTGTCACTGCACCCTCCCTCCCCATTACGCCCAACCCGCAATCACACTGACAGACATACTGACACATACACACACTGACACAAAAATATATACTGCCAAACATTGACACACATTCAGACATACTGATACACACACAGACACATACATACTCACAGACACATACACTGACAGATATATTGACACAGACACACACAGACACATACACTTACAGGCGTATTGACATACACAGACATACTGACATACACACACACACACACTGGAACACAGTGAGACATACTGACATACACACACAGACATACTGACATACAAACACACAGACATACACACAGTATGTCTGTGTGGTGTGTTAGTATGTCTGTGTGTGTATGTCAGTAT